TACAGATTTTTATTACATGAAATTTGTTGAAATAAAATTGTAATTTTGACAGGAAATATCCCTAAATTAATCACTTAATAAACTTCATTTAAGTTTAGTCTTTTATTAGTTTATATATATATATAAATTAGATGTGATTTTTTAAGTGTGTGTTTGAATTCTCATCTATAAACTTCAAACCTGAATTAGAAAAGTAACTATTTATTACTTTTGGTGTGTTGACATAAAAAATTGTTAAAACGTGGATTATTAATGATAATCCGAACATATACTAAAACGTTTTTTTTTATATCTAAATTACAATTTAAGCTCGACAATTTATATTGAGTTTTAATTTAATTTGACATTAATATAAGGATTTAATTAGATTAAACTTTTTTTTATCACTTTAATTCATCTTATTCGGATTCACCACACTATATTACTCAAATACTTGAAAAACAATTCACGAGGTCAAGATCTTATATTAGATATACAAAGCAAATTTATTGTGGCAACCACATACGAAGTGATCAACCACGAGTGTTGTTTCTTCATTCGATACCTTGATCTCATGGAAATAAAAAAGAAAACAACCTATCCCTTTTTTTTTATAAGCAAAATGAAGAAACATGGCTTTGAAAAGTACGAATTAATGTTACTCAAACAACCTTTTTACAATTTTGAGATTTTGATTAACTCAAACATGTTAATATGTTGTATGATAATTAGTTGGCTATCTACTTAATTTCTTATCCTAACCTGAATGAACATTCAAGACAACCGATATTGTTTGTCATTTTATCAGAAAATTTGTTGATTTTCTAATTAATAAGATTTTTTAATAATAGAAGTGAAATTCTTTTAATAAATTTTTGCTAACTCTTATTTGACAAGTAAAATTTTAGATAAAATTAAGCATTAATAAATTTGAGTTAAACATTAAGTAGATAATAATATTTAATCTGAGAATTTATTACATATTATTAACTCTCTATTTAATAGTTATAGGATGTCATTTCCTATCTATCATTATTCTGATGGAAAGATAAAGTTTCAACATTAATTAACCAGCAAATTTGCTAATTTGCAAATCAATTTTGTTTTTCCAAACTTGGGCGAAGTATAAAGTATTGCATACTATAAATTATTTAGAGAAATAGTTATTCTTTCAGTTTCTAGTTGGATACATTCTATTAGGTTGTCGTTGTCTTCACATTTTGTATTGTGTTAGCATTGAGAATATATAACAGTTTCCAATTCACTCCTAATTTGGTTCTAACAACTCCTTGACATAACATAAAAAAAAATATTAAATAAAAATAAATGATTAATAATGTCTAAATTTTTTTCTTCAAGCAATTAAAACAAGTAATAATATATTTTTTTTCATATTTTAAGTACATTATTGACCATAAAATAATCATACAATAATATATATACACGAATTAATTAACTTTCTTGTCTTACATGATTTAGGTATGGTTTGAAATAGTTACCCAGGTTCGAGTCCATAAGCAGTGATAATTGCTTTATGAAGACTCGCTTTCGCTACGGCTCCGGTGGTTTCCCTTAACCAAGTCACTGCTTATGAGTCGCCGACTCATTCTTCAACAGGCACGCGGTCAGAGTCCCGGACTGGGCTCCTCCCACTGCTTGGGAGCTTACGGTTTCATGTTCTATTTCACTCTATTTATGATTTTTTTAATAATTTTTTGTGTAAATTATTTAGTGAGTTTCATAATTAAATTTATTCTAAAAAAATTGTCATATAATGACACACCCTATAATGACATAATATTTGTTACTAAAATCTACTTTTACCTACACTATAAATACATTATATGTAAATATATTGTTAAAAAGTATAGTTATAAGGTATAGTAACACAATATATATTGTTTAATCTTATTCAAAACTAACACTAAAATTGTGTGTAGTTATATATCAAATAAATTTATACTTACATATTTTGTACTTATAATAACACTTTTTATATGTCACTGTATGTAACTATTAGGTTAAAAGAAAATCTTAGATCTGTCCGATTTGAAGTTAACAAATAAAGAAAGTCTTGATCAACAAAATAAAGTTTTTAAAATGACTAAAACAAACTTTCTAAGACTTAATCCATCAATAAGACAAATCCTGGTATAAGATGAAAATTACATTAAGACAATCATGTCATTGAATAAGATGAATTGTTAGTCATAAAAAGAGATATATCTTAAATCTCTATCATTCATGACCTCTAATCAATAAATTGACTATGTTTAAATGTTTCCTTAATAGATCGAATTTACAAATAATTTCTCAGTACCAATGTTCTATAAAATAAAAAAAAAGACACGCTTTGTATTGGAAAAAACAAGCAAATCTCTGCAAATACAAAAAGTTACCGTCAAAAATTGTTTCATCACTATAACATTTTGACACACATGACTCTACCCACTTAGTATCCAAAATGTGATAAATAGTTTATTTGATCGAATAAGAAGTGATAATTTAGTAAAAACATTTAATGCAAATATTTATTAAACTAACAAACACTTCTTCTCAAAAAGTAATCATGAAAACAAACGAAACAACCAATTAAAAAGAAATTCAAAGATTTGTAATAGTCATCTTCATTAACATTCTATAAAAAGGAAATTTGAAATTCAAAAAAAAAAAAAGAAATCAATTATTGTCATGAAATAAAAAAATTAACTTATTATTTTTAAATAAGTTTGCATAGCATACAAAACGGGCTTTTTATGTTAAAAAGAAGAGGAAAAATTATATAGAAAATTAAAATTCCTATTCTGGTATGTACAAGCAGGCAGTGGCATGGAGCAGAAAAAGCGTGTGTGACAGTGTGAATAACATTTGCAAATTGCAATGCCATATCGTTGCCATGTGAACCCTCACTGCACTGCAGTACAAAGGGACAGATTCACCTATACTCTTTTTGTATCACACAAACCAGACATGTGCATTCAATTAAAACTTCAACACACGCACATAAATTCATTTTTTCCTTTCTACACTTTTCAATGTCCCTCATTTGTGAATACCGGAACATCCGCCAATACACCACTTTTGACTTTCAAGCCTATGCAATGCATATTTAATTCCTGCCAACGCAAAATTTAAACACCTTTAAAATAGCCAAATAGGCATGCCAACAAGGTTGGTTCGAGAGAGAAACCTTTATGTTTTCTTCTTTTTAATTGATATTTTGCATAGAGAGAAGGGTACTTTAATTGCATAACTGTCAGATTCCCCTTTGTAGTAACAGATGATTTTCTTTGCTAACAGATTTTAACTTGTTGCTTTTGTTAGAGTTGAATTTGGAAGCAACCTAAGTGGGATTATTGAAGGGTGCAAATGAGTCTGAACAGAAAAGGATTGAAAATTGTGGGCATATAAATTCGTCACATGTGCACTGTCTTAGACGTCAAAACAAAGCCAATCAATCACTGGGCAGTGGGCACAGTTGTAAGCACAATCACGAGCCCATGTGATGTGAGGTAGCAGACAAAACACACAATTCAAATATTCAGCTCATACGAGGAGACAACTCCAGCCACCGACACCCATTTCATTTCTGCCCTAGATAACTGCATTTAGTCAATTATCTTTCATGGTTATTTAAATAAATAAAAATTAAAACTTTTAATCTTAAAATAAAATTGCATCCCTTTAATTAAAAACAATCAATTAAACTTTATTTAGACGACGCGGCATCTTTCGGTGTAGGACGATCGTGGTTTGGTTTGGGAGTAAAGCTGAAATATATGCGTGGGGTATGTATTAGGTTCTTTTACTTGTTTTTAGAAATGCATTAATACGGTACTATTGATAAGTGACTTGGCACTCAATGTTTCATTATTCGCTTCTTTTCCAAACAAAAGGGGGTGTTAATTCTCTCTAGCCGCGATACACTGTAATATGCGCAACACTGTTAGTTTTAATTGAATCATATGATTTAATTTTTATTAATTTTTTAAAAAAATTTATGTTAAACATATTTTATATTTATAAATTTTAATAAATTTATATAATATTTTAAATTTCAATTTTTATCTTATTTAAAATTATTTTTATTTTTATCTTTATATTTGATATCACAAAATAATATAAGTAATATTTACATATATATTATATTATAAAATATTGAAATATATAGTTTAAAATTAATAATATACTATAAAAATTATTTAAGTTACAAGTATTACAAATAAATACATTAGAACAAGTAGTAATTATAATGTTTGACAAGACTTTTCACTCTCTTATGAGAGAGTTTGATTTTAAATTTATTTTTAAAAGTGATGAAAAATATTTTACGGTTGAACTTGGTTTACTGGTTGAACTGAAAAATTGATCGATTCACTCTAATTTATATCAAGTTGAATGCACAATATCTAATTTAAGACTTGGTCAAACTAAATCACCAATTTTCAATTCAATTGATTTGACCCTGTTTTTAAAACATTACCTCTTGTGTTAAACTTGGCCTCTCTTATTTTAAATAAGAGTTAATCACTTATACACTGCCAGTGTAAAGTTTTTTTACACTGGTAACCAATTATATCTCTTAATTGTGCCATGTACTGACATTTAAGAGATACAATTGGTTTCCAGTGTAAAAAAATTTTACACTGACAGTGTATAGGTGATTAATTCTTTAAATATTTCTTTTGCTATTATACAAGTTTCATAATATTTTGAAAATTATTTATTAGTCTATAATTATCACTAATATTATGTCTTCCAAAATAATAAAAAAAATTGTATATAACATTTCATTATACACATATTACTCAATTAAAGAGAATTAATTTAAATAATTAATAATTTTTAGGGGTTTAAAGAGTTATTTCTCTAGCTTTCACGAATAATATTTAATTATAAATTTGTTTTAAAAAAAATATATGCAAAAAACTTAAATTATCATATAGTTGCATAGAATTTTTAATATGAAAAAGGAAAGAGTATTGGCTACCAACTTTTCCTGTGTGTGTTTTTATTTTACCCTTTACGGCTATATCCACGGCTCTCTCTGTTCTTAAAGTTACATTTTCGTGTCTCTCTCTTCACTTCATTCATCCACCACTCAAATGACGCTTCACATAGTGTTGGCGGCTCTGCTATGTTTTTCTCTTCTGGCCATCGCTTTCGCTGAAGATCCATACAGGTTCTTCAACTGGAATGTTACATACGGCGACATTTATCCACTTGGTGTTCGCCAACAGGTCTCTCTCTCTTATCCCACTTTTTGATTTCACTTTCATGTATCTCATTCTCATTCATTCATACGCAGGGAATACTTATCAACGGTCAATTCCCAGGTCCAGACATTCACTCTGTTACCAACGACAACCTCATCATCAATGTCTTCAACAGCTTGGACCAGCCATTTCTCCTCTCCTGGTATGCTACTCCATTTCTTCAGATCAATAATTATGCATCATTAAACTTTTGGCTTTGAGATGAGAATGGAATGTGATGTTGCATGTTTGTCACTTTGTTGAGTCACATGACCTGTGTCTCTCTGGAAAGTGGAAAGTACCAACCAATACCATACTCCCCCTTCTACGGGGCATGGGTCAACCCGCCAGACATGGATCCAGATCTCATCCACTGCTCTTTATATTATTCTACATCTATATTCATATTCACTCATCATTAACCTAAAAAAAAAACACACTCTAGGAGCCAAATCAAGAGAAAATATAAATATCATAAATAATGTTATCAAAGAGAAAAATATGTATATTAAGTATTATATATATTAAATTCGATTATTTTTTTTTATTTAATAAAGTATCAACTATTTTAAAGTGAGTAATTTAACTAAGAATTATTCTTCGACACGTATGGAATTGATTCCTGTTCAATTTTAATAATCTAATTATTAAAATAATTTTTATTAAAGAGAATAATTTGATGCATGGAAATGGTTTTTATTATATATAAAATTAAATTTTAAATTCAAAGTTCTTATTAAAAATCAAATAAATTATTCTATATGGAAACTTAAAATTATTTAGCACCTTATTAAATAAATCCAATTTAACATATTGTTTTAAAAAAATATTAGTCAATAGCGACTATAGAATTACCTAATTATGATATTTAAAAGTCGGAGTGTATGATTCTTGAAGTAATATCAAAGTGCTCAACAAATTAGTAAATTACTAAACATACTGACACATATTATTTATTTTTTACAAGAGATAATGAATAGGAAACCCACAAAGCCAAACAAAACAAGTTTCATTTGATAAGAAATACGTTTTTTTATTTATTTATTTAATTTTACATTTAATTTCTAACATTATTCTCAACGAAAGTGCAAATGCATAAGTGATTACGGTACATGAAAATCAGTGATTTTATCACTAGATTGGGAATGGTATATGTGAAGAAGGAAAACATTATCAAAAGTTATTATTCGAGTAAGTGGATGGCAGTGCAGTATAGTTGGCCTTTCTACATGGGGGAAAGGGAAATCACATAATAGAAGCAAGAAGAGAAATACTAAAGTATGATTATCAGTTTGATTTTCTGTCATTGCGTATTATCAGAGACAATAATTTATATTGTGGGCCCATTTACTTTATTTATGCATGGCTGTTCTCCGCTGGAGATCGATCTGGATGGATTATCACTTTGATTTTTTTTCTCCAATGAATTTAACGACTTTACTTTTTTAATTAATACAACAAGACATCCAACCTATCCATTGATTGAGAATAAGTCTTGAAGTAAACAGAGTAGTGATTCGATTTAGAAGAGTTGAAATAATTAGTGCACGAGAGGGTACCGGTGCACCTTTAAACTATTATTTAGATGATGAACAAGCTAGGTCAACATCTAGTCTTTATAGGTCAATGGGATTGGAACATGTTTATTAACGATTATATTTGCAAAGTAGTAGTAGTATTTTGAAAAACTTTCATGTAAAATAAATTAACTTAAACACTTGCTAAATGGCAAGGACATCCTTGAAGATGGTATAGGAATTTGAGTACATGACATCTCTCACTTTTCCATCTATTGCTTCAAATAAATTACATTAGCTTTTGTGTTTTGGCAAACATGAACACACATTTTAGAAGCAAGTAGTATATATATGAACATCTCTCTCATTCCTATTTTTGGTTCATGGAAAACGCAGGAATGGGGTCCAACAGAGAAGGAACTCATTCGAAGATGGGGTTTTCGGAACAACATGCCCCATTCCACCAGGAGGGAACTTCACTTACATTCTTCAAGTGAAGGATCAAATTGGAAGCTTCTACTACTTCCCATCTCTTGGATTCCACAAAGCTGCTGGTGGATTTGGAGGCATTAGGATTTTGAGCAGGCCTAGAATTCCTGTCCCTTTCGATGATCCCGCTGGTGATTACACTGTCCTCATTGGAGATTGGTACAAGTCCAACCATACGGTAATCCTAATTCATCCCTTCTTATTATGTTTTTTGCTTTATTTCTCACTACCTTAGCTTTTGTTTAGATGGGGCCTATGATTCAACTTTCAACTAACACATGGGTTCCTACGTATATATCATGACTATTTGTCACACTCATGCTTTTGGAACAGCTGGGTTACGTGTTGCCCATGTGGTTCAAATCCCAACTAATTTTCTCCACACCCATTTCACACATATAATAACTATTGAAAAGGAGATCTGATCTAGAAAAAGCAGACCGTGTTTTTTGACAAAAGTGGTATACATTTTAGATTGTCGTTGGTTAATACTTAATGCCACAAAACAAACAAAAAAGTGTTGTTTTGACAGCAATAAAAAAAGGAAGTTAATACTTAATTGGATATACCATGATGCTTTTGTTTGTATTGTGTTACAGGATTTGCAGGCTCAACTTGATAGCGGTAGGAAGCTGCCTTTCCCTGATGGAATCCTAATCAATGGTCGTGGCTCTAACGGAGCATCTTTCAATGTGGAACAAGGTATGCACCCACACCCATCAAATTACAATTGTCACTTTTCATATTTGCATGAGCTCTTTTCTCTTGATTAAGACCATTGTTGCATGTGTTCAGTTTTCACTATTGAAGGATAAACACAGTTGTACATAATTCTGACACAAATAATATTTTCTCACCTTATATCTTTTGGGCCACAGGGAAGACCTACAGGCTGAGAATATCAAATGTGGGGTTGGAAAATTCCCTCAACTTTCGCATACAGAACCACAAATTGAAGCTGGTGGAAGTGGAAGGAACGCACACTCTACAAACTACCTACTCATCCCTCGACGTGCACGTGGGCCAATCTTACTCTGTTCTAGTGACTGCGGATCAACCTGCTCATGACTATTACATAGTGGTCTCCACTCGATTTACCTCCACAGTTCTCACCACCACTGGAATTCTTCGCTATAGCAACTCTGCAGGCCAAGTATCAGGCCCAATCCCTGGTGGACCCACCATCCAAGTTGATTGGTCTTTGAACCAGGCCCGCTCCGTCAGGTACATCATAAATTTTATTATTCTTTTAAGATTTAATTAATTTTTGTTCTTTGTACTAGGCTTTTGTTTTAATCTTACAGTAAATGTACTTTTAATTTATGAATTTTTGTCAATTTTCACTTTTAGGCCTTAAACAAATTTCAGCATTTAAAATTTACTTAGATGAACCAAAAATCAGGACGTCAAATACCAAAAATATTAACAGAAATAGAAGTTTAGAGATTAAAAATAAAATAAAATAAATGTAAAAACTAATATTAGTAAAAAAAATGTTTAAAAATTAAAATTAATAATCTATAAAAGAAAAATTTAAAGATTAAAAATATGTTTAATTATTTGATATTTATTACTAAAATTTTTATATATTTAATCCTTATTCCAACAACTGGATTTTTAATGCAGACTTTTAGCTAATAGTATCATACAAGAGAAATATCAAATTTTGTGACATTCTTTCTCCTCAAGATCATCAGTAAAAACACAACGACATCCATTCTCGTATGCTTTTATTTTTAAATTTTTGTTACTTTTTACATTTAATCCTTCAAAAAAATTTATTTGATTTTAGTCTTTTAATATTCTTCTTAAAAAAAATGTTGATATTGGAAATAAGATGTTTGAGAGGAAAAGCTCAAAGATAAAAAGTGAAAATTAATAAAAAAAATTGGAAATTAAAATTGGTAAAATAACTTATTAGCTTAATTGTGTTTTTGATCCGTCAAGTATTACAATTGTGCAATTTTGATCCTCAAGGCTTTAATTGAGTAATTTTAAAGATTGTAATTGTATAATTTTAGTCCCTTAATTTTTAATTAAACAGTTTTAGTCCCTCAACTATTATAATTATGCGATTTTAAGTAGGTGTCTTTCTTCTGACATACGCAGTTTTGACTTGTGGATTTGCGCTTGCCTATTCTTTCATCTTTCTCTTTTTCAAACTTGATGTCCTCGTGTGTTCCTTTATGATTTGAGGACAATGTTTGTTATGAGCTTAAGACGTGCTTCACTATTCTCCGACTTCGTCTAGATACTTAAATCTTTGTCTGAGAGGTAGACTCTAGCTTTTCGCTCTGTCTTGGTCAAGTGTGAGAATGAACGATTATGATTTCGTTTGGAATGCTTCTTCATTTTTTGTTACTTGTTCTCCTGGCACCTTAGTTGACCTACGTCTTTATCTGTTCTTTGTCTGGTTATTTGTCATGCTTTATCTGATAATTTCGCAGGCTTTAATCATGTACATTGACTTGGTCTTGTATGATATTTGGTTCAACCCAATCCTTGTTCTCATATTTGTCTAAAACACTAATACACACGTTAGTAATAACAACATGCATTATATTTGTCTTCATTCAAAACCTTAGTGGGGCTTACGAATTATTTCGTCTGACTTAACAATTAAGTGTGAATGACCCTTTTTAGAGTGGATCTAGGATAACTCTGACACTATCTTAAAATAATGAATTAAGGATCTGACTCAACCTTACAAAACTGGTTTGTAAGGTGAGAGTTGTCCTCCATTTATATATCCTTTAATCATCTTATTTCTAATCGATGTGAGATTTTAGTTTTTTTCCAATAAAATGAATTAAAAGTTACCTTTATTTTTTTATCAGTCATTTTCAATAATTATTCTTATAAATACATTTTTAGTGACTATTATTTATTAGTTATTAATATTTTTATTAGATAATAAAATACAAATAATTAATTTATTATCATTAAATAATTTTCGTTAATAATAAATTTAAGTATAGTACATATTTAAATCGTTAAATTATGATGAAAAATTGAAAAGATTGGTAGAAGTTAGTTGTCAACGAGGATCACTTGCTAAAAAAATCTGGGAGTAGAGTTGAAATGTTGGCGAACCTTGAACACAACCTTTCAAATTTTATTTTTTTAATTTTTAAATATTGAAATATATAGTGCTATATTTGATTAAAACAAATTATGAACTTATTGACAATTTTAGCATTGACTAGGATAATGCTAACCAAGATTTTTACGGAGTCAATGCTACATTTAATTACTAATAAATTCATAATAAATGTTGATTTTTTTGGTATATTGATGAATAGAAACAAACAAAAATAATTACATGAAATCTAAATCAACTTCATGTAAAATGAGATTTGGAGGACTCCTCCATTTAATATACGTCAAACTAAATTTGGCTCCCCATCCAGCTAACTTATGAGCAACAACATTGCTTTCTCTAGAATACTTTTGCAATAAACCTGTCAATCACGAGTTAAAAAATCTCTAATATTGATAATAATATTTGCATGTTTATTGTCGGAACTCGAAAAATTCCAATTTTGCCCGTAAATGGTTTGAACTTTGTTTTGAAAATCTCACTAGTCTTGGGAATGCCCAAAGACTGGCCGGACTAATTAATCTCTCACCAATGGTTTTGAAAAGGTTCGAAGGAGTCACCACTAATATTTTACTCAAAACATCAGAAAAAGAAAAGGATTTTCAAAAATAGATCACGACCTTCATAGCAAGAATCAAGTTTGGAGGTTGATTACGTGTACGGAAGGTATTAGGCACCCCACAACGCCCTAACTCAATACCCTACAGTAAGTTTATAATTAAGTCTTTCCCTTTTATTATGCACACAGTAATTTATATTACATATTATTTACATAATAGAAAATGTTTATTGTCTATATGATTATTTATTTATTTATTGCATGGGAACATGGTTGTGAATAAAGCAAATAAAAAGGAAAAAGGAATAAAAGAGAATAAAAAATAACCTCTGTAGTAAGTTTTTATAATAAAACCTTCAAGAATGCGTATAAGAGCGCGTTTTGGTAGCCTTTCACTCTACAGAAGCCTCATAGACACTCAAATATCTATAAAGAGAAAGTCAAATCTAACAGGTGTTTGCTATATGTTTGTGAAGTCCTAGAGACTGAGCCTTGGGCACGCTTATATAGGTACTCAAGGATGGGGAACGACTGTTCCTAACACTGCAATGACCATTCTGGGCCTCAAAATTACACTAGGTTAGCTGCTTGGATAGGGTCGTTGCTAATTAGGGTTAATGTGTATTTTTTCAGTTGGGAATGATCGTTCTAAGGTTGGGTAGGGCCATTCCCAACTAGGGTTGCACGTGTTATTTTTGAAATGGGAACGGTTGTTCCAAGGTTGAAAATGGTCGTTTCGTGCCTTGAATTAGGACTTCGAGTCTTTTGGGCCTCTTGGTGTTGTCTCGGTCCATTTTAGTGCTTTATTAGGCCCTTGAGGGTTGCTCTTCTTGTTCTAGTGGCTTTTCATCCTTAGCAGGGGTAACCCGGACGAAATCTGGTGTCTACATTTATGCCATGAATAATCATATTACAAGTACTCACGAATGGTATAAATAACAGTTACACAATCTGACTCAAAAAAGAAATTTAAACCCCTCTTCCCAACATAAACGCAGCTTTGCCTCCAAAGCAAGAAGTTCTACGCATAAGTCTCCTCTTTCGAACGAGTTCGCAAATCTCCCTTTCCATCTACCAACAACATCCTTCACCACTCCATCAATCTCCATAATTCGAGAATTTTCTAGAACTTCCATCAACATTCAACTTGACAAAAGGATAATCTGGTGGGCTCTATTTTTCTCGTTGCTGGCAAAAAGACTTGGACCTCAAATAGAATGTATTATGTGATATATCTAATGTTATATGTCTTATAACATAGTTCATGGTCCATGGTCAGTTTGTCTCAAAGACCATATGTTCCAAAAATGCCAAATCCACCATGTCCTAACTAGGGGTGGGTATATGGATCCGGGTCCGCAGACCGGTCCATAAGCCCGCAGATTTCGTGGATAATGAGCCCATTTTTTTTCAAATCCGTATGATTATGTTTGATTTTTGAGCCCCGCCCGTAATGTCTGTGGACTTGGTGTATTTAATCCGCGGGCTAGTCTGCGAACTTCACTATTTAATATTTTTAGATATTAAGACTTTGATATTAAGTTGTGTATTTAATTTTTTAAATTATTATGATACTAAAACTATATTTAGTTGGTATGTATTTGTCATTGGATTATTTTTATGACATTTTGATGTTTTTATTGTTGAAAGTTTGGTACTATTACATAAGTATTTGTAATTATTTTTATTTTAATATTTTAATATTTAATATTTTAAACCATTTTAATTGTTGATAAATTTTAGTGTGATAAAATTTAGCTTATAAATAAAAAAATATTTTTTTCTTCTGATTTTATGACTTTTTATTTTTGAAAAATTTATTTTTTGAACCATTATTTAGATCTGCGGACCGGTCCATTATCCGCAGATTTTGGCGGGCCAGATATGGACTTAAAAAAAAGTTCATTTATTTTACGGACCGGACTTATCCAGTATGTATAAAACGCGAGTTTTACGGACCAGGCCTTAAAAACGCGTCAGAATGGTCCGTATACCCACCCCTAGTCCCAACTGCCAACCTCGTTGCATCTAGATGATTAACCAAGTTCTTGAGCCACAATAGACAACTCGTAATAGAGAAAAAAGAGGATGGAATATTTCTTATTGACATTCAAATTTCTCTCAAATGAAGATAGTCATGCACAACATGAAATATAGATTACATCATGTGTGAACATCTCATGCAAGCTCCACTTGAAGCTAAATTACTCCACAGTCAAACCTCATTAACTAGAAGGGCCTTATGTAGACCTTGCCAAAGAAAGAACTTCGTCTTTTCTAGTATAGACAACTTCCAAAAATGTTTCCATTCTAAAGTTTTCACACCATGTTCCTCTATGTATAATGATTGGAATCTCGTTGTTGCAGTATAGCTATGTGATAGGTCACCCATCCAATTAAATGTGTCAATCCCTATTGGATACATAGGTATATGAACCTGTAAATTGTGATCAATCACCTCCTATAATGTGTACGTAGGGAACCAGATGACATAGCAGTCCCACTCCCAACCAATCTTCATACAAAAAATAGGAACTTCCTAAACCAAGACAAGGAGCAAAGAAATCATTAAGAAATAATAATGCTTTAAGAATGCTTGCCCAGACATAGGATTGCCCAC